GCTGAGCTCTTCCTATTTTTTTTTTTTACAATAGGGGGGTTACATTTGTATATTTATAATCTAGGGAAAATATTCATTGGTTCAGAAATATTCTGAAAAAGGACTTTCAGTGGTAGGCTCAGTTCATCTGCCAGTTCGTAAAGGAAAGTAGTTCCTTTACGACTTAATTCCGTCCACTCCTGGGGCTTTTGAATTTCTTAGTTTGTCAATGTTCTTCCTTATTGTATTGCCCGTTATGGGTATATTTCTTAATTCGTTCTCTTCACTCCTTTCAAATATTTATGTGGATAGCAGGATGTTGACTAATCTTTCTGATGTAAACATTGATGTATATTATTCATTCAACCCGTCCTCTTAAAATAGCATCGTTTTTTGTTCGTATGCGCGCTATGGCCAAAAATGAACGTAATTTGAAATTAAATCGGTTCACGTAAGTGATGTATTGTTCCGTTTTCTGTTTGAGTCCTCCGGCTTACTCGGTTAGGTTAGGAGAGGAAAGTTTTAGTTAACGGTTTTCATGACGTTTGAAAATTTAGAACTTCCTTCCCTCCTAACCTACCAGAGGTTCCTTAACGAGCTATTTTGGATGAAAAAAAATCAACATTTATTTTAAATTATTTTTCATTTTCAAATTTCTTCCATTTTCGGAAAAACGGGCAAACTGCCAAATTCAGACGTACACACAGAAATCACAATTGCGTGATGCATCAAATGAATAAATCCACAAGATTGTGGATTTGTTCATTTGATGCATCATGCAATTGTGATTTCTGTGTGTAATGAAGTATGGGCGAAGAGAGAGAACGGCCTATTGACATAGCTTGAGTGCATGGGGGGAGTTGTGTAAAACCCTGGTTTGTGCCTCGGAGAGGCTGCAGGATCTAGTAAGTTCAGTAGAACTTCGGTTTCAATTCCTTTTGACCATGTCGTAGCTCAGTCGATTAAGGCAGCGTCTGGGATGCTCTCGGACGCAGGTTCGAATCCTCATCACGGCCCTAGTGAATTTGTTCGTTTAAATTCAAACGTAATTTGTAAGAGTTGAAATAGGTTGAATTGGGGAACTATTGCATTGTAAATAGTCCCATAAATGCTAACAGCACAAATTCCAAAATAAAGGACTGAGAGTGACACAGCCCAAGGGCCCACTCCTCCGTCATGGAGGTCGCCTTCTGGGTGACCTTGCTCGCCTTGTTCTCTGTAACGGTGGTCGTTTCAACGGGTCACGAGGCGTTACCTGACCTCACAAAAACTTGTCCTGGTGATCACAAGTGGGCGGGAAAGAAGGGTAGTGAGACAAGTACAATTTTCAACACATGAACATGAATCACCCACTTCCGCCCGGCCGCCCAACCTTAAATACTGTATACTCATGTGATTAATGAGACAAGCGTGTTCTCCTGACTTGCTGCTTATCTAACGCAGGCACTCTCGATCCTGATTTTCGTAACGCGTCCTATTTTAAAGATATTGAATTATCAGTTATCTCTTCATCTACTATCTCTCCATTGTCTGCATCTTCCATTTGTTCCCTGGGACTCGGCTGCTCCTCTGGTCTCCAGCAATAACGTCTTCTTGGTTAATATAATCTCTCATGCTGAATATCATTTTTTATTAAATATTCTGCCTTACTTTAATTGTCCTGAGATCCAGCTCCTTCAATATTTCCTGACAGGTCGATCTTCTCAATTCTGGTTTAAGCCTACTGGCTACCTCAGGATGTTTTCGTTACCTGTAGCCGGTTTCGAGAGTTCCACCATTTCCCAAGCCCGGCCGTGTGCCAGGCTTGTCTAATGATAACTTTATATGCAAGGTTTAATGCTTGCGGAGGCCCACAGACAAATAGATCCATTATAACCCCGGTGATCCGAAATGTCCAGCAAGAACTTGTCCAATTGCCTCCTGAAATTTTCATCCTTTGCTCCTGCAATATTCCATATATTTGGTGGAAGGAGGATGAAAAGTGGTGAGTTTCTATTGCTCGTACAGTGTACTCTGTGGCTGTGTCATCTTTAATCTTCCTTTGGCCCAGTCTGCATTTGTTACCATATCTTTAGTTCCAATAAGTTTTCGTTTCATTGTGCATATTTCGTACCTGACCTTCAATTATCTTTCATGCTTTGAGACGGTATCAGGAATTTAGGTGTTGTACTATGCGTGACGTATATGTTGTCTTTATTTCTTCTATTTCACATATCTTTCCTGCCTTGAAATATAAATTCAGATAAATAATGTGAATACTGAACAGTGTTCGCGGCGGGACAGCGCCAGTGATTTGAAAAGCAAGATGATTGTGATTTGTCTTTAGGGTTCTTTATCTTTCATGCTCAGCTGCTTATGCATGATGCATGCAATACTTTGGTCTTCTTATCTTAATTTCAGACTGTTATTATTATGTTTAGTAGATTTGTAAATGCTCCTGGTGTTATCCTGTACACGTGTGCCTCTAAGTGTTAGGCTTGGGGGGGTTTCTTGTGAAAAATGTTATGTTTAAAGTATAGTTAAAAAAAGTCTACGTAAGTGTTCGAGTGTATAGTAGTACTTGAAACGTGTGCCAGTGTGTGTGATAAACCAATTACATACTATGAAGCAATTAACATAAACAATATGTCTTCAGTTATTATTATGCATTTCATTTAACTCACAAAAATTTAAAAGGGTAGTGTGCGACCACTGAAAGATATGTGTAGCTTACGCCTTCTTAATCCAAAACTATTTAGTCTAGATAACGGGTTAGATGAGTAAAAATATAATTGGGTGAGAGACGTTCTTGCTTTACAATTATTATCCAGTAACCATTTCTGAAGTCTTCCCTGGAACTTGGCAAGATTGCCAAGTTCCAAGAGACAGGCCAGGAACCCCAAGCCAGTTGTCATCCACACCTACCTCCCCACCCCTTCCAATTTATTTTATATAATAGTCACAAAATACACGTGGACTTAAGCCAAAGTACAATTCACACCCGTTACTCCATCTATCATTATTCTATTACAAAGGAAGAGCCGCACACCCATGGGTCATCCATTATGGTTAGCATATTTCTAGATGTTACCTCTGCTAGGCTTAGGCTCGGCTATATGTTCGTCTGGGAATGTACATCATCTGCTGATGTAGATTTGACTAAATGTAAACTCTGTCAGCAGAACTATTCGCATACTTTGCGTCATTATATAAGTGAATGTGAAAAAATAGCGGAATTCAGAGATAACACCATCAATGGTGTCCAAGAAATGTGTAAATACTTCATTCATAATGATATACTGCCAGGAATCTTAGCGAAGTATCCCAAAGTGTTCTTACTGTAGGTGCAGCCTGCACATGACTGTAAAGCTGCCGCCCAGTTGAGTGGGTGTGGAGCAAGACTAGTAATTGTGTGACTCATCATAGATATAAAGTGCCTTGTATAGTGACTGTTGTGAGCCTCTTGTTGAATCACTTGTGATATAAAAGATTATTGACATGTATATATATTTGTGTACATGGATGTAAATATATGTACATGTGTGTGTAATATTAACAATTATTATGCAAAGAGGCAGAGAGGATTCATACTACCATTAAAATAAACAAAAGGAATATAATAACCCGTGGTTCAATAGACAGTGCCAGGAAGCGAAAGCAAAACGCAGGAGGGAGTAGAGGAAATACAGAGGACAGAGGACAGAGGTAAACCGGAACAGATGCACCAGAGCCAGGAATGACTACATAAATATAAGAAGATTGACAGAAAGAAACTATCGTGGAGTCCCCCATCTTAAGGAAGCATAAGGAAGCTCGAAAGGGTGCAGAAGTTTGCAACGAGATTCGTCCCAGAATTACGAGGGATGAGATATGAAGAGAGACTAAAGGAACTAAACTTGACGAGGTTAGAAAGGCGGACGGAGAAAGGGGAAGATAATACAGACATACGAAATTCTTAGAGGGATTGACAGAGTGGAAAAAGAGGAAATGTTAACAATGAATAACAGTTGAACAAGGGGGCTCAGATGAAAGCTAGATATTCAGATGTGTCATAGAGATGTGAGAAAGTTTCCTTTTAGCAAAAGGTTAGTGAGTAAATGGAATGACTTAAAGAAGCCGCTTATGGAGGCAAACTCGATTCACAACTTTAACAGTAGGAATTATAGGGAAGCAGGTCAGGAGTCATTGCATTCGACAATCGACGTCTAGAATAGCGGGCTCCAAGAGCTAGAGCTCGATCCAGCAGGCACCAATAGGTGAGCACACACACAGAATATTTAGCACGGGGAGGCACTCGAACCAGCATTCACCGGTTGAAACTGATTGCCGAATTGACCCTCAGAAACAAGGAATTTTTACAGTGTCAGAGTAATCAACAATTGGAATGCACTAGGAAGTGATGTGGTGCAGGCAGACTCCTGCACCACATTTATAGTTTTAAATGTACATATGAGCCGGTCGCCGCGGGGAGCCGGTCGGCCGAGCGGACAGCACGCTGGACTTGTGATCCTGTGGTCCCGGGTTCGATCCCGGGCACCGGCGAGAAACAATGGGCAGAGTTTCTTTCACCCTATGCTCCTCTTACCTAGCAGTAAAATAGGTATCTGGGTGTTAGTCAGCTGTCACGGGCTGCTTCCTGGGGGTGGAGGCCTGGTCGAGGACCGGGCCGCGGGGACACTAAAGCCCCGAAATCATCTCAAGATAACCTCAAGATGATAGAGCCTAATAGGCTCCGAAACCTGTTCACGAGATGGGTTAAGGTTGAGAGACGGAACCAACGAGCAACCAACGCCAACACAATTAGGTGAGTACACACATGCTGCATTACTCCTCTTCCTGTTTGAATTAGTTTACAACAGATGTACAAATATATAATCTTACAGATGTACAGATGTTTACAGACATGTGTTTTGAAGATGCGCTCACCGCAATTACTACCACGTACACATCTTCCACGTGTGGACATGTTACGGGATCTACCAAGCGTAGCCTCATAATAAAAAATGACAAATAATACTGATGATAGACGACCATAATAATGATCAATGAGTATGACAATGTAAGGAATCGTAGTTCAGCAGAACACACATTAACAACAGCTTTCTTGAAGATGGATGGCGACAAGCTGAAAATCATATACGTAACCTATACTTAGACTTAGATTTGAGCCAACAGTAGTGGTTGTATAATTGCCTTACTTATATTACAGGACGAAGGGAAAGTGAGCAGGAAGAGCTAGGGTGGCAGGAGAGGAAGAGCTAGGGTGTAGTGTGGCAGGAGAGGAAGAGCTAGGGTGTAGTGTGGCGGGAGAGGAAGAGCTAGGGTGGCAGGGGAGGAAGAAAGTAACATAAATGGGGAGGACCTTGAAGACAATCCAAGCAGGTCAAGTTGAGCAACTCTGCCCAGAGCATGATCCTGTTTGTTGCTCCCTCCCTCACTCAGCCTTCCTCTCTCCCTCCCCCGTCACCCACTCTCCCTCACCCCCCGTTTTTCTCCTATATCACGGTCGTACCGGAACAATGGCCGGTCAGTTACTTACCTTGACTGCCCCACACGTCAGGCAGGTGTGGTGGTTCAGGCGTCGTGTACACCATGCCAGGCAGGTGTGGTGGTTCAGGCGTCGTGTACACCACGTCAGGCAGGTGTGGTGGCTCAGGCATCGTGTTCACCACGTCAGGCAGGTGTGGTGGCTCAGGCGTCGTGTCCGTCACGTCAGGCAGGTGTGGTGGCTCAGGCGTCGTGTCCACCACGTCAGGCAGGTGTGGTGGCTCAGGCGTCGTGTCCGTCACGTCAGGCAGGTGTGGTGGTTCAGGCGTCGTGTCCACCACGTCAGGCAGGTGTGGTGGTTCAGGCGTCGTGTCCACCACGTCAGGCAGGTGTGGTGGTTCAGGCGTCGTGTCCACCACGTCAGGCAGGTGTGGTGGCTCAGGCGTCGTGTACACCACGTCAGGCAGGTGTGGTGGTTCAGGCGTCGTGTCCGTCACGTCAGGCAGGTGTGGTGGTTCAGGCGTCGTGTACACCACGTCAGGCAGGTGTGGTGGTTCAGGCGTCGTGTACACCACGTCAGGCAGGTGTGGTGGTTCAGGCGTCGTGTCCACCACGTCAGGCAGGTGTGGTGGCTCAGGCGTCGTGTACACCACGTCAGGCAGGTGTGGTGGTTCAGGCGTCGTGTCCGTCACGTCAGGCAGGTGTGGTGGTTCAGGCGTCGTGTCCACCACGTCAGGCAGGTGTGCGTCTCGAGTTGGAAAACTCCCTGAAATGTTTTATTCACCATCTATCAAATTTTCTTTTCAATGTTTGTGAATGTGTTAGGGTCATTCTTAAGTCAGCTAGCCTGCCATCTGCCAATGTATGACCTTTAGTCTCATAACATGGGCTACGATCTGACTACTATATTGATCTGAAATTGTCCTTGAGCCTTCATTCTAAGACAATATACTCATTCCTAGCTGCTTTCCTAGTTTTCTTTGTTCTCTGTGATCCACTTGCTATATATTTCCCATGCTCCTTGTGAGTATTCCATGCCACGGAGCATTGTTAGCTGAACTGGGGCATAATACTTTTTCCTCAGCTGTCTGATATGGTTTACAAATTTATGTTGCTTTAGTAAAGTTCTTGGCGTTAAATTCCAGCATTTCATTAGATGTATTTGTTTCTAGTTGAGTCTTTCATCCCAGCTCACCGATTATTTCCCTCTTGTTATAGTGCATTACGCTAGCGGTATTCTAACCACCTCAGTTTATTTGCGTCTCCATGACTTTCATTTCCATCAGATACTTAAATACCTTGGCACAGTGGTCACTCGACCCAGTGTTTCAAGTATGTCCATGTTGGCTTTATTCTACACACATGAAAAGTCACGTATATATATATATATATATATATATATATATATATATATATATATATATATATATATATATATATATATATATATATATATATATGTCGTACCTAATAGCCAGAACTCACTTCTCAGCCTACTATGCAAGGCCCGATTTGCCTAATAAGCCAAGTTTTCCTGAATTAATATATTTTCTCAAATTTTTTTCTTATGAAATGATAAAGCTACTCATTTCATTATGTATGAGGTCAATTTTTTTTATTGGAGTTAAAATTAACGTAAATATATGACCGAACCTAACCAACCCTACCTAACCTAACCTAACCTATCTCTATCAGTTAGGTTAGGTTAGGTAGCAGAAAAAGTTAGGTTAGGTTAGGTTAGGTAGGTTAGGTAGTCGAAAAAACATTAATTCATGAAAACTTGGCTTATTAGGCAAATTGGGCCATGCATAGTTGGCTGAGAAGTGCGTTCTGGCTATTAGGTACGACATATATATATATATATATATATATATATATATATATATATATATATATATATATATATATATATATATATATATATGTCGTACCTAGTAGCCAGAACTCACTTCTCAGCCTACTATTCAAGGCCCGATTTGCCTAATAAGCCAAGTTTTCCTGAATTAATATATTTACTATAATTTTTTTCTTATGAAATGATAAAGCTACCCTTTTCACTATGTATGAGGTCAATTTTTTTTTATTGGAGTTAAAATTAACGTAGATATATGACCGAACCTAACCAACCCTACCTAACCTAACCTAAGCTATATATATAGGTAAGGTTAGGTTAGGTAGCCAAAAAAAGCTAGGTTAGGTTAGGTTAGGTAGGTTAGGTAGACGAAAAAACATTAATTCATGAAAACTTGGCTTATTAGGCAAATCGGGCCTTGCATAGTAGGCTGAGAAGTGAGTTCTGGCTACTAGGTACGACATATATATATATATATATATATATATATATATATATATATATATATATATATATATATATATATATATGTCGTACCTAGTAGCCAGAATGCACTTCTCGGCCTACTATGCAAGGCCCGATTTGCCTAATAAGCCAAGTTTTCCCGAATTAATATATTTTCTCTAATTTTTTTCTTATGAAATGATAAAGCTACCCATTTCATTATGTATGAGGTCAATTTTTTTCTATTGGAGTTAAAATTTACGTAGATATATGACCGAACCTAACCAACCCTACCTAACCTAACCTAACCTAACTTTTTCGGCTACCTAACCTAACCTAACCTATAAAGATAGGTTAGGTTAGGTTAGGTAGGGTTGGTTAGGTTCGGTCATCTATCTACGTTAATTTTAACTCCAATAAAAAAAATTGACCTCTTACATAATGAAATGGGTTGCTTTATCATTTCATAAGAAAAAAAATAGAGAAAATATATTAATTCATGAAAACTTGGCTTATTAGGCAAATCGGGCCTTGCATTGTAGGCTGAAAAGTGAGTTCTGGCTACTAGGTACGACATATATATATATATATATATATATATATATATATATATATATATATATATATATATATATATATATATATATATATATATATATATATATATATATATATATATGGGACAACAGTTTTGGGTGAGGTGAACAAACTTGAGACAAACACAAGACAGAATGCGAAACTATGGGTATTAATTGGATATGAGAACATAAGAAGTGAAGTAGTGAAGTAATTGGAGAAGGCCTATTGGCCCATACTTCTCTTGATGCTTCTATATTGGTTTGGAGTCTTGAAGTGGGTAGAATATAGTTGTGCATTAATTGGCTGTTGATTGCTGGTGTTGACACATCAAAAATTCATGATTTCTGACAGGCAGAGTTGTAGAGGCAATGGGTGTTGGGGTGGGAGTTGTAGGGGTAAGTGTGTTGGGGTGGGAGTTGTAGGGGTAAGTGTGTTGGGGTGGGAGTTGTAGGGGTAAGTGTGTTGGGGTGGGAGTTGTAGGGGTAAGTGTGTTGGGGTGGGAGTTGTAGGGGTAAGGGTGTTGGGGTGGGAGTTGTAGGGGTAAGTGTGTTGGGGTGGGAGGTCGGATGGTTGGGAGAATAGATCTAGAAAGCATTGGTTGACGAGTAAGATAGCAAAGGACAGGAAGAAGGATTTCAATGTAGAATAATACGGGGTGAGGGAAGGTGAGGGAACAGCTGGGAGGGTCTGGGGGATAAAAGGAGTTCGAGCGGTGACCATGGTTTATATATATATATATGTCGTACCTAGTAGCCAGAACGCACTTCTCAGCCTACTATGCAAGGCCCGATTTTCCTAATAAGCCAAGTTTTCCTAAAATAATATATTTTCTCTAAAATTTTTCTTATGAAATGATAAAGCTACCCATTTCATTATGTATGAGGTCAATTTTTTTATTGGAGTTAAAATTAACGTAGATATATGACCAAACCTAACCAACCCTACCTAACCTAACCTAACCTATCTTTATAGGTTAGGTTAGGTTAGGTAGCCAAAAAAGTTAGGTTAGGTTGGGTTAGGTAGGTTAGGTAGTCGAAAAACAATTAATTCATGAAAACTTGGCTTATTAGGCAAATCGGGCCTTGCATAGTAGGCTGAGAAGTGAGTTCTGGCTACTAGGTACGACATATATATATATATATATATATATATATATATATATATATATATATATATATATATATATATACATATACATATATGAAAAGGGGGGGTTAGGGTAGAGTTGGTGTACGAGACTCAGGAGTTTGTGTACAAAGTGAAGTGGAAGTATTGTAGTACACATATGGCGCTAATGTGTACTGTGTAGTACTGTAGTACACTAGCACATTCAGCTACCCGGAGCTGTTAATAAGACTCTCAATATGTGAGACAGGAGCAGAGTGACGGTTTAAACAACGTCGACGGGATGACCTTGATGTGCTGTGATGTGTGCGAGACTCACACCCAAGAGCGCTCCTGGCGGCGACTCATCGCACCGTCTGACCCTAAGGAGACGTGGAAAAGTCACTTGCTGGGCCAGCCTCCACCACCCACCGACCCGGCCCGGCCCACACCCCTCCTCCCTGTATATAGTCTCAATACTGCAACATGTGACGTACTGGATCTCCTCCCAAGAGACGCTGCGTAATGCAACAATTATGTAATATTTGTGGTGTAATTATATTTTGAGCTTGTAAAGGTGCTTTAAATCCCCCATCTGTGGTTGAGTGCTCAAGAACTCACTATGCACTATAGTATCTCTTTTGTCCTGTTGTGTAGAAGACGAAAAATATATATATATGCTGGTTAGAATTGCAATTTGCATTTGTAACTTATCTCATTCACATTCTGTGGTTGAATATTCGATAACCAAGTAGAGAACACATTTCTTCCCCTGTCTATGTAGAACAGGCGAGAATGTATCTATGTTGGCTACCATTGCAGAAGCATTTCAGTCACCTGTGGCTTTCGGGGTGAGAACTTCCCTACACTAAATACGAACAGAACTCTAAGGTGTCCATGAAGACCAGAAGAAAATGTATATATGCTGATTACCATTGTATAAATGGATGGTCACGTTTCTGGTAAACTTAATATACAAAAAAAAAAAATAATATCTCCAAGCCACAACCTCCCGTGCAGGACTCGCCCTCTCCCCCAGTCCCTCGCCAGCACCAACAAAGCCAGGCTTCATAAAAACAATCAATGCTCCAACCTGATCAAGCCAAAACTAACTCACCATAAGAAGTTCAACACGAATCATTAGTGTATCAGGGTACAGGGTGCAGCTACATGACGCAGGGTGCAGCAACATGACGCAGGGTGCAGCAACATGACGCAGGGTGCAGCAACATGACGCAGGGTGCAGCAACGTGACGCAGGGTGCAGCAACGTGACGCAGGGTGCAGCAACATGACGCAGGGTGCAGCTACATGACGCAGGGTGCAGCAACATGACGCAGGGTGCAGCAACATGACGCAGGGTGCAGCAACATGACGCAGGGTGCAGCAACATGACGCAGGGTGCAGCAACATGACGCAGGGTGCAGCAACATGACGCAGGGTGCAGCAACATGACGCAGGGTGTAGCTACATGACGCAGGGTGCAGCAACATGACGCAGGGTGCAGCAACATGACGCAGGGTGCAGCAACATGACGCAGGGTGTAGCTACATGACGCAGGGTGCAGCAACATGACGCATGGTGCAGCAACATGACGCAGGGTGTAGCTACATGACGCAGGGTGCAGCAACATGACGCAGGGTGCAGCAACATGACGCAGGGTGCAGAAACATGACGCAGGGTGCAGCAACATGATGCATGGCGCAGCAACATGACGCAGGGTGCAGCAACATGACGCAGGGTGCAGCAACATGACGCAGGGTGCAGCAACATGACGCAGGGTGCAGCAACATGACGCAGGGTGCAGCAACATGACGCAGGGTGCAGCAACATGACGCAGGGTGCAGCAACATGACGCAGGGTGCAGCAACGTGACGCAGGGTGCAGCAACGTGACGCAGGGTGCAGCAACATGACGCAGGGTGCAGCAACATGACGCAGGGTGAAGCTACATGACGCAGGGTGCAGCTACATGACGCATGGTGCAGCAACATGACGCAGGGTGCAGCTACATGACGCAGGGTGCAGCAACATGACGCAGGGTGCAGTTACATGACGCATGGTGCAGCTACATGACGCAGGGTGCAGCAACATGATGCATGGTGCAGCTACATGACGCATGGTGCAGCAACATGACGCAGGGTGCAGCAACATGACGCAGGGTGCAGCAACATGACGCAGGGTGCAGCTACATGACGCAGGGTGCAGCAACATGACGCAGGGTGCAGCAACATGACGCATGGTGC